AAAAAAAAAAAAAAAATGCTGGTTAGCCCAAAGAACGCTAGGCAAGGAGGAGAATGTCAGGGAGGGACCAGATCACATCAGTCTTTGTAGGTCAATGTTAATTCTGGTTCATCCTAAGTGAAACAAGAGGCCACTGGAAGATTGTAAGCAATATTGTGATCTGATTAATATCTCAGGATGACCTCCAGCAGAAGCAGGGAGAAAGGACGCTCCTGCAGAGCTCTGGGTGAGAGAGAACAGCTGTGTAGACCCGGATGGAGTTGGAGAGAGAGCTAAGGGGCCTGATCAACTCACACTTTATAGGAAAGGCCTGAAGGACTTAAAGATGAATTGACTGGGGAGGATGATAAAAGGAATCAAGGACTTCTGGGCAGATGGTGATACTGTTTTTCTGAGGAAGGCAAGATCTGGAAAGAACAGATTTGGTTGAAGGGTAAGGCTGTTGAGCAGTAGAAATCAACAGTTGTGTTTTTGATGTAGTGATTCTGAGCTACAAATTACACTTTCAGCATGGATACATTGAAAGAAGTTGACATATAAATCTAGCTCAGGGAAAAGTGGAGGGTGGGGATAGTATTTAGCAATCATTAATGCCATATGGATGGCATTTAAATTATGAAGACCATGTCCAGGTAGCTAGCATGGATTAAGAAGAAAAGATGCCTACAGACCAGGCTCTGGCTCACTTTAACAGTTCAAGGTGGAGAGTGTGTTCCAGAAGTCTCCTCCTCCAGATAGGAGGCCTGCAGAACTGTGATTCAGAAAAAGGAGAGCCTTCCTCTACTGACAGGTGCAGGTCTTTGAGCTTTGTAGACATACCAAGGGTTAGGATGAGTGAGGACCTTTGTGAGCACCCCCTTGCTAGTAAATTTTAATGAGCATTGGCTCCCAGGTGATATGAGGAAGAAGCTCTTTCACCTGAAAAGCCACAAGCTAAAGCTCTCTCACCTGAAAAGCCACAAGCTAAAGCTCTCTCACCTGAAAAGCCACAAGCTTTTTTCCTTTGAACAACATGGTAAAATATATTTTTAACAAGATATGGATAGTTAATGCTGCCCTGCGGAGGGAGGACTGGCATGGTAAAGTTTTCAATGCCCATCTGACCACCATATCTAAGAATTCAAGATTCTCACCTCCAGAGGAACAGCAGTTCAATAGACACAAAGCAGAAGCCTTTCTACTTTGGGAAAAGTGCCAAGATACCATCCTAGAAAAAAAAAAAAAACTGGGCATCTAGAGCAATGTTGATTAATGGAAGAATGTAAGTGGAGAGAATTAGTTTTATTTTTTTAAATTTTTCTACCTGGACTTTGTGATCTAGAAACATTATTATCATTTTATTTTATTTTAATTTTTAGGAGTCAGGAGACATAATAAACATGACTCTGAATCAGGAGGGTTGAAGAATAAAGTCAGAAATATTATGTTCATTTAGCATCTTCTTTAATTTGCATAGCTTTTGGGGGGAGAAAATGACTATTTATATAGATTTGATTATCTGAGATTACCCATGAATATATTGCTTAGGGAGCATGCTGCATAGTTAATACTGCAGCAAATTATAGAAGTTATCCCCATAACAGAGCAAAGAAATCTATGTCCCAATGGGAAACATTTATGGCAGTGTAGAGAAGTCATTTCAACAACTAATTATTCTGTGGTATTCTCCCCAAATAGAGTTTCTTCCCTTCTGATGTCTCTACTTGGGTTCTGCATTGGCTTTTAGTGGCAGAACAGGTGACTCCTCTACACATTAAGCTCTGCTCTAATCTCACATTTCATGTTACAGCAAAAATGTGAATTTAACATGCAGCTGCCATATTTTTCTGGAGACTTTTTGGAAAATTGGCATATAGAAAAAGGAATCAGTTTTGAGGTGTTGGATATGAGGAATTGGTGAATTACAAGACACATTAGGAACAAAGATTTGATGTAGGAAAAGCATTTTTATCCTTTTTAAAAGAAATGCATTTGGTAGAATGAACTGCTGCTGCCTTTTCAGAAAAAAAAAAAAACAAACACTGATTTTGGACAATTGTCACAAGAGACCTAATTCTGTCTTTGTTATCCCAATTTCCACATATACTCCTCCAGCATTATAAACCCAGGCCATCGGTGTTTGCTACCTTGGGCACCATTTGATGCAGTGACTTAAGTCCTAGGAAAAGTAGACCCCCAAACATATTTCCTTATACTAACCCCAGAAGCAATGGCAACCGTGATGTTTAGCTTCTTTAGTTGAATATATTCTCTAAATATAACAATATAAGATTGTTAATATTTTAAGATTTTCTCCTGCTTGGTTAACTTATGGTAAGTTTTGGAGAAATATTCAAAGTACACATCAGATGCACAACTGTTTGAGCATAACTGAGATTGAAAAAGTCTGCCCTCCTGCAAGGATCAAGAGTCGTCTAGGAGTTGGGTGCAGTGGCTGAGGTGGGAGGATGGAGAGTTCAAAGCCAGCCTCAGAAAAAGTGAGGTAGGTGCTAAGCAGCTCAGTGAGACCCTGTCTCTAAATAAAATACACAATAGGGCTGGGATGTGGCTCAGTGTTTGAGTGCCCCTAAGTTAAATCCCCAGTACCAAAAAAACAAAACCAAAAACAAAAACAAAAAAACTAGTTGTCTGGAAGGTTGAGTAACCCTGCTCACTAAAGGAGGAGTGAGAATTCTTTCTAAATCCTTTGCCTCATCCATTAATTGGGCTGGACACCAAAACTATGTGGGTCCTTTTAATCAGGACCCCCTAAATGGTCAGGCTGTTGGAAAATACTACCATATATTGTGTCTGACCAGTGTTAAGTCTGAAGACTTCCATGGTTACTCAGAGTTATTCAAGGTAACTATGGATTTATACTGGTCAGATCATCTTAAATTATTCAACATAAACAACGATCTTAAGAGCCACAATTATATTGAATTATTTATGAGAATTCTATTGATGCTTGACTAGATGGAAAATTTATATCCTAATATTTTCTCCAATCTTACCACAATTCTGAATGGTAAGTATGGTTGTCCCTATTTTACAGGTGCAGAAACTGAAGCTCAGAGAAGTTAAGTCACTTTTCCATAGTAACTGAGATGATAAATATCCATGGAGAACTGCAACTGGTGAATTCCAATGAAATACAGTCATACACCATAAAATGACATTTGGGTCAACGATGGAGCACATATACCAGGATACCTGACTGTACATGACATAAATTGTACTTGTTTTCATTCTAAATCCCCAAACCAAGATTGCCAACTATGACTAACTACTAGCAATCATAGAAACTTGATCAAGACTGTGATATTTGTGGAAAATAGAGTGATTGGCTTCATTAGCCGAGCTAGATTTTCTTCCTGTCTTGTCTTTTTCCAAGCCTACTCTAATTGTGCCCTTGGTGTGCTACTGGGCAGAGAATGTGTGCCTTATATGCTCAGAGTTAAGTCTTTATGTCTGTCAAGATGCAACTAATGCTAGGTAACAGGCCTAGAATTTCAATTACAATAAGCTGTGATATACCACAGAGTCATTGGTGAGTTTAAAATACATATTTCTGGACTTTACCCCTAAACCTTCCATTGATCAATCATGGGTCTCCAACTAATGCATTTTTCAACAAGTTCCCAGGTAATTCTGAGGCTCATCAAAATTTTAAAAAATAGTGCTATTAATATTTGGTATGATGATGCTGTACTCAGAATTCTGAGTCAACATAATGAGCTATAGTTGTAGCTTGGAAGAGAAATTCAATTTATAAGGGATGCATGAAGGCTGTCTTCAAAATGTGCACTTGGTCTGCTCACTTTTGTCAAAAATACTTCTCTCTATCCTGATCAATGTCTATTTCCTATTTACTCCCACTAATACTTAGATCAAAAGAATAGTTTATCAAGTATCTATTAAGTATCTTAGTTACCTAAACCTATAGTTTCATGGAAATAATCTAAACCTTTTTCAATATAAAAGACAGATATTTTGTTCTCGAAGATGATTTGGTATTTTGTTTTGTGCTTTTGAAAGCATTCACTCTAAAGGGAAGCTGATCTGAACATCTATCCATCAAACTGATGGGCTCTCCCTATGCAGGCGGTGGAGGCCCTTTGGGAATGCATGCCTGTCAGCACAATGACACTGACCAGCTTTATAACCTTGAGAAGGGCCGTTATTTGACAGCACATTATTTGGCAACAGACTTACTTATCTCTGGTCTCTCATCCTTCACAGGCCCGATTCATTATCACAGTCCTTGAAATTGTAGGAAAGAAGGGATCAAGAAGGCAAATGAGCTTCCGCTTTGGGGGGAATTAGATAGAAGGCATTCTGTACCTGGCACTGAAGTTCCAAGTGCAACAAACACGACGGCGGTCACGGAATCTTTCAGGCCAATGGTGCAACCAAAGTGGGAAGCCAGATCTCCAATGAAAGCTGTCAGTAGGCCAATCATGAGAATGGAGACAATGAAGCATGCCCAGCCATTCCAGTATTCCGTAGGAGGGACGAAGGCAAACAGGACCTTCCAGAACACAGTCAGAAAGTGCATCACGTAATCAAAACAGGAGGGCAGCTTCTCCTCCCCACATTCATCGTCGTCATCATCTTCCCCTGGAGAGAAAGGAGTGAAGCACATTTCATTATGACCCAGGTCTCCCTTCTTCCTCACCTGTCATCCCTCCCCTCCAAGGGATAACTGACCATCAGAGTTGGGTGAGGCTTAGGGTTTTCTAAGGGACGATGAACCATTAATTATCAAGGTATTCAAATGCCTCCTTATTGTGCTGGTTGGTCAATGGCAAAAACTTACCCCCATCTGGGTCTGCTTATGTGCAATTAGTATACGCTTTCCACACTCCTATCACTTCCTGTGGGGGTTTGTCATGTCAGAGAAATAAAAAAGAATTTCTTCCCCCAGAGTTGCCTCTTCTGAAGACAGTTATTGTGGTCAGAGTCTACAAGGGTCTTTTCTCCTACTCCAAATCAATGATTATATAATTACCAGCAGGATAATATCCATACAAGGCCTCAACCCACAATGGTGGCCCTTGTGTATCACTCCAGCTTCATTTCCTATGACTACCTCAAAATCAATCTTTATCATGAATAAATGGAATTATTTGCATCGTTTTCAAACCGTATGCACTTTCTCCCTCTTTCACCCTTTAGAACTAAGTGTGTTCAGTCCCTCCTTCCTTCTCCTTCCCTAAGCTAGCTGCATCAGAAGCCCTTGGGTGCTTATTAGAAATGACAGTCCTCAGCCCCACTGAATCAGAAACTTGGGGGAGTGTGTAATAAGAAATCTAGCCTTGAATAAGCCCTCCACATGATTCTGATATGTTCTGCAGTTTGACAACTGATGTTTTCTCTAAATTGTACCCATTTACTTTCCCCTCTTCTCCAGTTGACTGTGAACTCTTCATTTATCTTTGTGCTTCTAGTGTTTGGTACCATCTCCCTCAGGGAGCTAAATGACTCTTAAATGAAAGAATGCATTCATGAATTTCTACCAATTTTATGTCAGTATATAATTCCAAAATATACACACACAGATCATAATTCCTAATTGATTCATATTTGAAATGCACAAGAAAATAGAAAATTAATAATAATATTTTCAAATGGAGATTTCATTGATAATGTGAAAATAATCCCCATTCATGTAATTTATAATTAGGATATTGAATTTCAACTTTTCTGGAAGTGGTAGGAGATATATAGATTCACATATTTTGTGGCCATTTTGAAAACAACTTCTTGAAGACTTTGTTCACCTGCTCCAATTTTATCACGAGGGATCTACTTTTTACTTCCCCCAACTAAGCAGCTGGCAGTAGGTGGGGCTGTCAACTTTCCAGTTGTCTATATGACCAGAGATTGCCAGCATGGAGCAAATGTGCACTTCGTGAGACACCCCATGGTGAGGCCATCTGGTGCAAATCACGAGTGGGTAAACCCTCTGAAAACGAGGAAGCTTCAAGTAAAGAGTACTTCTCACAAAACATGAAAAGAGGAAAGTCTGGGTCTGTCACTTGTCACCTTACAGGAAGAGAGAAGTAGCAATGGCCTGCTCTTCCAGGAGCATGTGGTCTGACCTATTATGTAAAACTTGGGGATCTGTCTCCTCCAGCAGATGAGCAGGACAGCCTTTGGGATCTGATTAGGTACAGAACTTGAGTGAACTTTGCTGACTGATATGTATGGGGGTGTAAAAAGCACCAATGTCCTCCTCCTCCAAGGACTCAGGCTCCATGGTTATTACACATTTCTAAGAAGCTTGCCTAAAAGCACAAGGTGCTTCTTAATAAACGCACCTGATATGGGCTGCATTGTCTCCCCCAAATTCATATGTTGACACCAATGTCCACCCCAATGCTTAGAATATGGCCTTATTTAAAAACAGGGCTTTTAAAGAGGTAATTAAGTTACAAAGAGGCCCTCCAGGTGGGCCCTAATCCATTCTGATTGGTGTCCCTAATAAGAAGAGGAAATTGAAACACACAGATGCACCAGGATGTGTGTGCACAGAGGAAAGACCATGCAGCAAAATATAGAATTTGCAAGCCACGAAGAAGTGGTGTCTGGAGGAACCCAGCCTGCTGACACCTTGATCTTGGACTTCCAGCCTTCTGAACTCTGAGAAAACAAATTCCTGCTGTTTACACCGCCTAGCCTATGGCAGCCCTGGCAAACCAATGCAGCAGGCCTTTGGGAGCCTCTTATATTATGGCATTTAAATGTAGTACATACATATCACACCATCACACTCACACCCTAGACATGTACCATTATGAAACATCAATTAAAAAAATGAAAAGTAAAACAATTAGTGTTCCTATTACCCAGTCTTTCAATCTTTTCCCGTGTCTTTATACATTTCTTCTTTTTAATGTTTTTTTTTTCCTTTCTCTTTCCTTCCCACTCCCTTTTATCCTACACTTTGGCTCTAAGTAAAACACAGCATCAGGGCTGCCTCTCCTTTCTCTACCTCTTCTCCTCCCCCCCCACCATCCATTCTAAAACGGAACACATGTATGCTGGGGGATTCAGAAAGATCACTAGAATTTCTAGTTATATTTACTTTGTATCCAATCTTTTAAAATTTCTCTATTTGTGGCCATTTTATAATTTCTAGGGCAAATGATTAAAGTGCTTGGAAAATATTGAATTGTTATCCAACATTCATAGAAACATGCTATTCTGCCTCTGACTCTGCAAAATTACTTAATTTTTAGGTGACTAAGTCTTATATTTTGAAGATGAACAAGAAAATAAACAAGCTTTTCAGAAGAAATGACACTTAGAAATCAAGAGTAGATAATATATTTGTTTTCAAGATGGCAATAATAACACCTTTCCTGTGAGGGAGGTGCAGGGGAATAATTAGATCATCTCTGCAAAGTGTCTGAGGATGTTTCAAGGTGATGATTATCCTGGTAGTTATCATTATTTTCCTCCACTTAGGATTGCCACTATTTTTCCCATCATTATTTAATTGCTTAGTCAACATGCTGGGTCCTAAGGTTACATTTTAGCTTTTTTTAAAAACAAAAATTAAATATTACCCTTGAAAATTAACTTCATGATCTATTAATGTCAAAGTGGTGGATATGAAAGCAAGAGAGAGAAGGGTGTGTGGGGGACTGGGGAGATCCTTCTGTAGGACTCCAGCATTAGAAGAAATCTTAAATGCTGGCCTGGGAGGTTCATTTATTTTCCAGCATTTGAAAGTAGAAGTAACTTTCCAGCCTTTTTGCTGGAATTTCACTGACTTTATAAATTTTATCTTCAACTGAGAAGTCATTTAAATATTAAAAATGACCACTGACTGCCATGCATAATGCATGACTGCCCTATCTTGGGGAAAGACACATAAATATTATGAGCATCCATCACCACTTGGACTGTATTTAAAAGCCTGTTTCCTGCAAAGAGCAGTGGAACATAAAAAATAAAAACAAAATAAACAACAACAGCAAAACAACAACAACAAAAACCCAAGCCCTGGGAGCAACTTTTTTTGAAAGCAAAAATGATAGCAATCTGCCAGCTCTGCGTGCTTACTAGCACAGGGTTACTGGAAGCTACATAATTCTTTCAAGGCCTTCCTCTCTGTGAGGCAAAGAAACAGGTTGGTGAGTGTGCTTTTACAGGATCCCAAGTAAACCCCCTCTTATCTCAGAATCTTTTTTTTCCAGCTCTATGGGTTCCATTAATGGAAAGACAAACAAGCTGTATTCAAGTAATCTCTCCCATGGCCTTTTAAAGAGCTTCCTTGATATATGTTGGGCTTCCTGGATATCATTACAAAAAAAGTAGCCAAATCATTAAAAGTGCAGATAGTGGAGATGGTGTCACTTCAATTACTGATGTGATAGTACTATAGGCCCTGTCCAGCTCTGGAGCAGGGGGGTGAGAGCATCATCATGTAACATCTCATGAAAGGCACCCCCTGGGCTTGGTACCCACAGGTAACCTTCTAAAATAAACAGGTGCTTCTTGATATCCTTCCCTAGATGCTCACGGTTTGGCCCTGGGGAGATATTTGAAAAGCAGAAAAAGAAACTGCCAAGGTGTGGTGGACACTTGGGTCAGAAACTTTAAAATTCCACTTCTGGTTCTTGTAGCTTATTGGGGGCAAGACACAAACTTCCTGAGCTTCCGTTTCTTGTCTGTCAAATAAATGTCCAAACTCACACAACATAGAGCTATTTCGAGGACCAGAGGAGGAAATGTCCAAGTCCTTTGTAAAACTGAAAGTCTCTTTACAGATAGATGTGTCATATTCCATTATCGTTACTTATTGGAGGAAAGGCAGTAAATCAATATGACTTGTGTATCCTGATTTCATTGGGTCTATATTTCTGTTTGAGTAAGTCATTATCATTACAGTTCCCTGAGCTGCTTAATTTTAGGAAAAGAAAAGAAGGAAGCAATAGAAAGAGGGAACATAATGGAGCGTCCACTATGTGACAGGCACTGAGTGAGATTCTTTCACATACCCGATTCTATTTCATTTGTACAATAATCTTGTAAGGTAGGCATAAATCCTGTTGTACATAGAAGAACTTGAATTTATAGAATTTAAGTGACTTTTGTATTGTTTTGTTTGTTTGGTACCAAGGATTGAATTCAGCTGTGCTTAACCACTGAGCCACATCCCCAGGCAATTTTTAAATTTTTTATTTTGAGACAGGTTCTCCCTAATTAGCTTAGGGCCTAAATTGCTGGGGCCCTTTAACTTGTGATCTTCCTGCCTGTCAGTCTCCTGAGCCTTTGGGATTACAGGTGTGCACCACCGTGAGGGGCTTCAGTGACTTTTTAACATGACCACTCAGTCAGTTCCTCTACATGTGATGCCTTCTGGAAGCAAGTTGAAGAAAATAGCATCTATCACATACTGATTTAATTCTTCTAATCTCTGTTACTATATAGATACTATACTGCCTTTTTGGAATGTGAAAATATTGATGCACTCATCAGTAATATTTTTATTCTAATATTTTCTAGACATAATCATGATTACTACTTTTGCAGAGTCAAATATAAGCTCTTCTATGAGCCTTTGAGGACCAAGGAAACAGGGAACCAAGACAAGTAGAAAGGATGGC